GTGCCCCTGTATCATCTTCTTAGTATAGTTGCTATCTTATCTTAAAGAGGAAAAACTAAATATTGTATCCGCGCGGTTAGATACGTTTAGTGCCCGATGCTGGAATTGAAAACTAAAACCTTCGTCGGAGGCTAAACATCCCCAACAATTAAAAATCCAGGACCACAGAAACTTATCTCATTGATTCCTGGAAATGACTTCAGCCAAATCAGCTTCCTATATTATTGTAAATATATACAGCTTGAGCCCAGTCTTCTTGTCCTTAGAGGCTGTGATCCTTTTGTTCAGCGGAGACAATCTCGACCCAGCACTGGGATCGAGAATGAGAATGCGGAGACAACCGTTAACAGGGGCCATATGGCGCATGCGTTCAATGAGTTCGGACCAATGGTTTGCGAGAAATCACCTAGAAACTCCCAAACCCTGGCCTAGATCGGATAAAATGTGAAGAAATTTTTCAAAGGAACTGCAAGTTTCTAGCTGCACTATCCAACTGAATTTAGGTGGACTATAATACCCCGACTATACATGATGGTTTTCTTATAATTTGTTTACTTCGTTTTCTCTTTCCTGAAATAGCATTTGACTTTTCTTGAATATACGAGTCTCTGGCGGGAATTGAATACATGAATTAAGCGAACACATTAAGCTCCGCAAATAATGTTTTGACCAAAAATGGGAATAAAACTCCTAAAAAACTACGAAACATCTGTTCTTGCTTGTTTTTCCTCCAAGATGGTGTCTTCTATCACCAAAAATTGAGTAGAAAATCCCTTCATATCATGCCTCCCACCACAGCTGATTAAATTAATCCTCTACAAAGTACTAGAGGTTTTCGCGTCAGCTAACTTGCTAATAATTTCTCTCTCTTGGTCAGTACAGCTGCTTTTTGTCTCAGTAAATATCAAGATATTACCTGTTATCTTCGACTATCTAAGTAATACTATGTGCTAATTAATCGATACACAGATAAACAGAGATTACGAGACAACCGCAAATAAAGTCGTGGTAAGATTTAGCATTTTGAAAGGATCAGGAAATTTGAGCCAATCAAGCAATCATCGACAGCGACCAAATTGACGATTTTGTTTCTACAATCTCCCAGTTTTTATCATCTCACCGACAAAATCATTTTCATAAATTAGGTTTCGCCCTCATGCTTTTTGAGAACATGTTGGTGGTTGTTCTTATTGATTATTTACTCTTTTAAGCGTTTTTCTTCCACCACTGTCCACAGCTCAACAGCAATGTCTGTCCTCATTGTATGAATTCATTTGTACGCATTTTCTTATGGGAAAAATCCAAGTTGCTTGAATAGTCGGCGTTAATCATGGTTTCAGTACTAAGCAAGCTTAGTAATTCTGAGCTGACATATTTTTTTTTTTTACTTAGCCAAGGACAAAATGCATTGATATTAAGTCGAAATATGCATGACAATGTTTTAAGACTAGTAAATCGTCGCTATTCCGTTATCCGTTATAAAATGGACACATATTCTTTAATAGTTTTTATCAGTGACCTAAATTGCAAAATTAAATGCTCCATAGTCTTCAGTTAGAAATCAAGATAAATCCATGTGGGAGCCCCAGTACGAACTGTAAAAGGAAAACAAACCCTGCATGATTTTTTTGACAAAATAGTTTTTTTGTATGATAATTATTCCAAGCTGAAGTTTCTGCAAGAACATCTTCTACTCTCTTTTTTATTGCTTGCAAACAAATAATTCTTCGCTACAACTAAACTGCTTCAATCTGATTGTGAAACATTGGTATCGATAACCAAAACTACTAAGAAATTTTATCTTTTAATTCCTTATACATCACACACAACATCTGATTTTAAAAGACAACGGGAGACCAGACAAAAATGGTCTTGTAAAAGTTTACCGATAAGAGAATGATTTGCCCGCGTGGTACCGTTCGAACACGATATTCGAAACTTTGTGGCATTCTCTGCCGGTTCTGGAATCTTGCTGGATGCCGTGATCGAATGCATTGTCGATCAGTGCTGTATTGATCTCCGCCGGGCGTCAGAGTAACTGAACCGGTCAGTTTTGCCCTTGGTAACTTGGCTGATATTTCGTGGTAAGCCTACACACTGTTAAAACTCTGTGTGACGCTATTATAAACTAACGGAAAAGATTAGGACGAGGGAGAAGTTGTTCATCGCAAGCACGGGATCCTATCGATCGAACATGATTTTTTTTCTCGTCTCTTCCTAAAGTCGACTGATCCAGCTTGTAGACAGGCTAGTAATGGTTTTACTCAACAACAGTCGGTCTTGACACTCGTTTGTATGATGCATTTCCAGTTTGAAAAGTCAATTTCTGTTACACTCACTTTTCAGTTTTCATTAACTAGATCTTTTTTAAGGGAGGCCGGTTGTTATGCCTTTTTTGTAGGGTGGATAATGTTGTTGTGCATTCCCTAGAAGAGCTCATCTTTAGTATTTCTAAAACCATCAGACGTATTGGCGACAAACGCTTTAGAAACAAACACCATCACTTTCACCGGCTTACACCAAGTATCAATATGTTTTAATCAATCAGAGCTTTTCTGCCTTTACCATGTGATCTATGCCCTCGCAAGTGTAACAAATTCGTTTTTTGATTGTTCCAACTAAATCTACACCCGGGGCTATTTTGGAATAGACTGCAAAACAGCCCTTTTTTGCGTTCTCGCGCTCCGCGCCTTGAAAAACCGATTTGGAGAAAAAAGAAAGACGACTGTTTTGCTGCCTGATTTCATTACTGCATGGTATATGAGAAAATGGAGTTAAAATTAACATATCTGCGAATTTTAATACTCTAGCAGAACTTAATCTGTTTTGAAAACGTCTTAAAACACTGTTTGATAATTAAAGAAACTAGCGATTTAAGGGATGGGGGAAAGTGCTGGTTTCAAAGATAAAAGAAATGATGTTTTAACTAACAACTCTTTGCTAGAATAAATGACAACGCCTTTATGGGAAACAAAAAACCGCTGTGTGAAATCTACTAGCAAATCTTGCTTCTTAAACATTTATAAATGCAAAACTAAAAACAGATTTTTTCTTCTTTAAATCCCGAATGAGGTGATGAGTTAAGGCCTTTCTCACCCCGCTTTAAGAGTTCTTAAATTAAAAAATCATTTGAATATTTTATTCTGATGGAGATGCTCTTAGTCCAAAACCCCTGTGGGGAAAATTTTCCCTTTGTTGACATTCCTAATAACGTCTAGCCTCTTTTAAAGATCAAAATAAACGATTTAATGCTTCTGTCTCATCTGGGTTTTTATCAGCGTTTTTAAAACTCAAAAGGTGCGCTTATTTTGAGCAGAATATTAAAAATTTTTATTGCCTTAATTCATTTTTCCTGCGGCCAAAATTCGGCTCACGTGACTCACGTTATAAATAGCGAGTCACGAACAGCCACGAGTCATTTGTTTGACATATGCAAACACAATGGCAAAATGCGATGGAGGGGTCAAAGAAAGCACGTTTTACGAATACATGCCCGTTCATGGCTAAATCTGAGAAAGGCTGATATCTGTCTTGACCGGCAGTTACATGGTTAGAGATCGAAGAGAAGTGAAACCGGTTGTAAAGTCCAAAAGAACTGTTTGAGCGGTTGTTGCTTTCCTTGTTCTTTGATTTCCGTTGTATCGTGCTGCGTCTGCAGTATGGTATCTTTTGTGTTGACTAAATCCAAGACAATTTGCTCTTTATTCGTAAATTTATTCGGTAAGTCAGCGAAAGAGTTGTCCAAGTAAACGATGAGGTACTTAAGGTAACTAATTTTCATTTCCTTTTCTTTCAATATTTAAAGTGGTTATAGCGGCCGATAATCAAGTTTTCACTTCGAGTCCCAAAGACAAGGAAGTCTTCGTTGGCGAGAGTATACAGTTTGACTGGGACTACATAAAAAATGACACTGGTGAAGTTCGATTTGGGGTTAAAGTGAATACTACGGCGGTGACCATTTGCAAGTTTGTTCTTAAACATAGGACGACAATTTTCAACAACAAGAACGAAGAAATCAAGAACTATAAAGACAGAGTTGAAGTCGTGTCGCACAGAAGAGCAAGTTTCAGAATTAAAAATGTTCGAATGAGTGATACAGGGACCTATTTTTGTTCACTCGTCAATACTGATAAACTGGATGATTTCATCTCGTCCGTGAAAATGACTGTTGTGGGTAAGTATTCCGTTTATTAGTGTGCGCGCGGGAATTATGAATTTTGCTATGGTCAGCTAGCTAGCGTTCGATGGGTGATGTGACACCAGGTTTTTGGGTCTTTTTGGTGTAAATTATATTTTGATAGTAATGGTTCACGAGAGGAACACTGAACGACGTAATTATTGGTTTCGTTGTTTAGGTGAAACCGAGTTTTAAATATGTTGATTCGTTGATATATATTTTAGCAAAAAGTTAAAATTCCGCCTCATTGATTCTATGGAAGTCTCTTTGAACAAAGCTTTTCTATTGAAAAGGGAAAATATGCCGGTAAATCAGCTGTCTCCGGGAGATGTACTAGCTATTGTGCAATTTCGTGTTCAACAAATCGTATGCAAGCCTTTGTAGCGAATTTTTTGTTTATTCAGTAATGGTATTCTGGCCCGTTTTCCTCGAAGTTTTTTAGAACACATTTAAAGGGGTTGGTTTTACGATCACGAAAATACAAACGTATAACTCGTATATTAGCCAGTTGTTAATTAGAGGGAACGAGAAAATTCAGGATTGTTTAGATTGTGGGATAGACGTTCTAAACTGTTTCTCGCTTGATACGAAAATGAATATTTTGTGAACACAAGCACCTGCTACATACGCCTTTTAAGACATAGTCACGCCATGCTAATCAACTTGGTAATTCATGGAGTGTTTTTCCTGGTCATTTCGCCGCTTTTGTTTACACAGTTTAAAGAAATATCAGTTTATTTGTGGATTTAAAGGCATTCATGTGATCGAATCGCTGCACAGCTGCCAGAAACTGTAGTTATGTGAGATCTATTTTATGATGCGTTTAATGACTTATCCATGGATTTAGCTTTTAAACCTAAACTATCAAGACAAATTGCTTTTCTGACAAGTGATTAAGAACAAAACGTTTTTTGTTCTGGTACTTTTTAACAAATTGCCACAATTTTTTCTTTACCAAAGAGAAAATTCCAGCTCTGTGCCAAATCTCCCTGACCACAATGAATCCATTTTATCCTGTTTTCATCAGCTTCATCAAATTTGCATACAGCTGTGCAAAAGTATTTTTCACTTTTTAATTTCATGTTAGACATATGGGTAGCAAAGACCCCACTGGATGTGTCTGTCACCTAATTTGATCATGAAAGTGGGGGATATGTCAATAAATTAATAAAGACTTATTGAGAATGCCATGAGAAAGTAATTGTCTTTGGAATTCTTATAAAAAGAGCTTGAAAGCAGAAGTTGTAATATGGCAAGATGGAAGTCAAACAGAAGCATCAATTTCATGAAATGTTTATTTATCTAGATGTATCTATTTGTTAAACATGCATTATGTATAGAAACCATAATCGTTAATGATGCCATTAGTGCAAAGTGAAAATTATCATTCTTTCCAAAATAAAAATTATTGTATGAACTAAGAAATGGATTACCAGACAAACTGCCATTTTCATATTTTTAAGTGGGCTTTTAACTTTATATCATGCTTCAGTATGAATTCAATGATAAAAAATTCAAATTCTCTTTACTGATCTCCATACAGTTTCTCATGGAAAAATAGTCCCCTGAGGGGACATGTGCTTACTGGTTATGAATAGTCTTTACTCCAGTAACCATAAAAAAGAAAAAAAGGAAGAAGAAGAAAAGAATCTATGAAATTTGTTGAAGGAAATATGCGGGGTATTGAACCCAATAACCTCTCCTCCGGACTTATGGACTTACACAGACATTAATAAAATGCTTTCTGGCTACAAAACCAGTAAGCACAATATGTTGAGAGAATTTATTTTAGAATCAATGTATTTTTCTTAAGGTGGTCTTCATTGTTAATTCTTATAACATTTTTTCATCATAATAAATATACTGTCAGGAGAAAAGTGATGTTATCACTTGTGGGACTTAAATGCTAAGGTTATTGTAATCAAGATCGAGCCCTAAATGAAATAGCACCAACCCATAATATTCTTAACTATTGTAGTAAAGCTTTATCCATAGTTCCATAATATTGACCAAAATCTAACTTCTCCTTGCTACTGATCAAGGAATTAAAAATAAGGGTGACAAAGTATTCATCAAATATGAAAATTTGAGATTTTCATGAATTAATAATAAAAAGAGTAAAGTTAAAAGGAGATTATAAACGATGACTCAGGTAGAGTGGGAACTGTAAACTAAAGATACTTGAGCATACCAAGTTTTTATTTTCTCCATATAGTCTGAGTGCAAGATTCTATGAAATTAAATTTGCTAGTTTAGTTCTTTTTTGATAAAACCAAGGCAAGTCTTTTGAGGTGGTATATAATTGCCTGAAAATTATTTTCGTTTATAATACCAGTAAGTATAGTTAGGAGATTCACTGCAGTGGGTTTATTTATGCATTCTTTGACTGATCTAACATTTGATTAAGCTACATGATTTTAAAGATCAAGGTTAAGATGACATATTAAAATAATAATGTAACATTAAAATATAATGAATTACACATAAATAGATTTTTATCTAATTGTTTTCTTGTCAGTGGCATATATACTAAACCATTTTGTGTGGCGACAGTTTTTTAGTGATCGGATTTTTTTGTGTTCAGTTGAGTCAGCAGGGAAGTGGATTAAGTCTTCTTTATTTTACCTGTACGTATACTTAATCAGTATGCTATTAATATAATGTCTTAGTCATAATGCAAGCTGTTTATTTCATTGCAAGTTCTAAAGATGTTCAGCATGACTTTTGGGGTTTCATACTGGTATGTTATTTTCCTATGACTAGATATATAAACAAATATTAACCTTACAACGATTGTGTGCTTTATTCTTTTCAGACCTCTTGATCGACAAATTTAGTTCATCAATATCTGTAGAGTCCTGGGATGGCCACAAAATACAGGTCACCTGTGCAGTTAAGGTGCCAACAGGTACAAATGCCAAGTTCTCATGGATGCACATTCCATCCAATACAAGTGTTGCTAAGCAACTCCATGAAGACTTAGGAAGTAAAAGTCACTTGATGATAACCACATATGAAGATAAAGACTTTGAGGCCCTGCAGTGTAGGGCAGAGACCAAGAACACTGTGAAATTCCATGTTGTTAACATCACGAGGCTACGTAAGTTGAAATTATTATTAATAATAATTATTAGAGAATAATAGAATGTCCTTATAAGCTTGTTTGGGTCAGTTACAAGTTGCCAAGTATATGCAATTGGTCGTCACTGGGAATTGAACAGCTCGGAAGTTCTTTTGGTTTGTTTTTCTTTCCATAAAGACTTGTCAGGGGTCATACTCACAATAGAGGCCAGTGAAAATCCCCAGGGTCCCCCGGCCAGTCCCTTACTAATCTACTGAGAGAGAGTTGGTGGGGAGGTTGGATCTTGTAGAACGATTTTCCAAAAAGACGCTAGGATTATTCAATTTTGTACTTCTATGATGTTAATATTAGTCTAGGGCTGTATATTAAATTATTATTATTTCTTTCTTGTAAGGGCTGATCAGTTTAATTTGCTCAGAAAAAAGCGTGACAGGGTATCATGATATTTCCTTCATTTTGATTACAGGTTGTTATAAATTAATATAAAAACCAGAGCCATACATAATATTGTATCCAACTACATAAATGGTAGAGATTTCTTTGGACATGTTCAGCTGTTTGTTAGCCATGTGATTTTGCTGTCGGTTGACAAGCTGTTATTATTTTTCAGCCTTCAGTTAGTTTGAGGGTTAATGTAAGGTTGATTTCTTTGACAACTTAGGTACTCCATCTCGACCAAGAAATCTCAAGTCAGAACCAGTTTTTGATAAAAAGAATGCACAGACATATTTTAAACTTCACTGGGAGCCTCCTGAAAATGATGGTGGAACTGTGATCAGCGAGTATGGCATTCATTATGTACCAAAAGAACTTTCTTGGAAAGATGCAACAACAAAAAAGACAACAAGTAATGAATTGAACTTGAAACTTAAAAGTGGTGAAATATATCTCGTAAATGTCAGGGCCAGGAACAAGGTTGGTGTTGGTCCCGCATCAAATGAGATTGAATTAGATCTTGGTAAGTATTAGTAGAATTAGTCTATCTCAAAAGGAAATGCCAATTATGAGAACTAATAATTATACAATAGTAAAATGTATACCAAAAAATGTAGACCAAAACCTCAGACTGTGGGTGTCCTGTGGTATTTTAATGCTAGCAAGGGGATCATGACCCACAGGTTCCTGTGTGTTTCCTTAAAAAGATGGGATATAAATAAATAATTGTGGATTAAGAGAAATAATTGTGAAATTTGGCTAAAGGCATCCAAGAACCATACAAGAACCATATTAATTTAGTTTCTGACCAACAAGTGTGAAGATTTAGCCCACTTGCACGAAAAGCAGGTGTTCTTCCCAGGGGGTGGCAGTGGGAAGAATTGGATGGCTGTCATCTTGCATAAGGGTGTAAATTGCAGAGTCCTTTCTTATTGTGTTCTGGATGAAGAACCAGATATCGCTTAGGGTAGTGTATAAAGAAATATGTATATATTAAATTTAAAAGGGGGCTCCCAAAAAAGCCTGACCCACAACCAAATTGGTCTTCTTTTAAAGGTTTTGATTCTAATTTTCCGACGAACAGCCCTCCCCACCCCCCACACACTCACACTTTTGAGTGTCAGTTTAAAACTGCAGCAATTAATGAAGTATTCTGCTGCCTTGACCAAAAAAAAGATGTAAAAAACTGCAGTTTGATACCCTACAGGAAATTTACATGATTTTTTTAAAATTAATTTTTAAAAAGACATGTCATTTAATAAGACAAGTGTTAATTGTTAACTGTTTCTACATCCTTTGCCCAGAAGATGATCCATATTTGCTGCCCAGATCTGGTATGCTTCTTCATCACTTGGATGCTTGTTTGCTCTTGTGTTACCTTGTGGTTTGGATTCTATAGAGAAAGGACAAATAGTACAATGCCACATACGCCAAGCTCTTCAGTGTGATTTATACGTGTAGTTAAGGCCTGCGTCAATACGGAGTAGCCTGGGCTTCTGTAACAGCAGTTCAGGGAAACTATTAATAATTCATTCACAGGTGTAAAAGGCATGCTGTCACAAACACTTGCCTTACTCCTCTCTTCTCCTTCACTTTTGTGGTTTGTTTTTCTTGTGTGTGTTAGTCCATTCTCATGAGCTTGACACTGTTTTGTGGTACATTTTCAGACTGTTGTAGTAAAAGGTCATTGAAATGGCAAGGGATTTCACCCCCTGCTAGCTTATGAGCATAATCGCTGGCTACGTTCATTGGAAACAAAAGAAAAATAGAACCAAAAGACTTCCTAACCGTTCAATTCCCTGCCGAGCAAGTACGTCTACCCAGCAATTGGAAGTGTTAGTGACAGCCTTGTCTCTTTATAAACCAGAAATTTAGATTTTAACAGAAAACCCTGTTAACATTTTTTACCATTTTTATGAACAAAAAAGGAGTACCTTTTTTTTTTATCCAGTTATTGTTTTTCTATAATATTTCATTCATTTGCAAGTAATACAGAACCTACCACATACTGCTGACAACAGCTCAAAGTTTATCATTTACTTTATGTGGGATTCTTTCCTTTTGGATTTTTTTGGTCAGATCTGAGGAGATATGTATTGGAAGTAATATATTACCAATAGCAATGCTAATGTTTGGTTGAAAGGATATTTAAGTTTGAGCATTTATACAATAAGTTTATATTTGTACTGACAAATTTTAATAATTAAAGTATTTAACATATCACTTAAATATAATTTGATCTTGTAAATTTTTTCAGAGGCGAATATGGCATTATAGTGATTAAGAACTCTGTTGCTTTGCACAGTCATGCTTATTATTTGTCAATGTCATTGTAGACATCGATGGCAACATTAATAGCAAACTCCATTTTGTTAATAAAATACCAAAAAAAAATTAATGTCCTTAGGGCAGCTAAATTTTATTCAATAAATTATTAATATTTAATGGTGACAGCATCAATTTTATACAGTGAAGAGCAATCTTCTTTTGACAAAAAAGTGTAAAAATGTTTAAAAGGTTGTTTAGAAATTTATTTCTATTTAAGTTTGCTGTTTTCATTATGAGGCCAGACTCTATAAATTGGGTTCTTAATATAAAATATTATAGTAAATTATTACTGATGTAATAGTTCTGTTTTCAAGTAATAAATTCACAAACTGAAAAAACAGTATTGTGTCAGTCCTTATTCTTTCATTTCAGTAATGGAAATAATTTTATCGGAGAGATAAACTGTATAAAATAACCAAGGACTCTTGAATTTGTCAACCTTCTGGGGAATACAACATAGCTTCAAGTTATCAGGTGGGGTGAACATTCCAGGGTAAAACTTCCATGTACTGTTTGACTGCGACAGGGAGGGAGGTCAGTTTTGGTTTGAATAACTTATTGGGAGGTTTCAGAAACACAGGGTTTAACCCTTTAAGTTCCAATGGTGACCATCGTCAAATTTCTCCTAACAATATCCATATGTTGCCAAGAGAAATGGTTATGAGAGTTAATAAAATGATCACTAAAGAGAAAATGCTTTGATCTGTTATCAAACTCTCTCAACTAATTCTTTAAAGAAATGTATGAAGATCAGTATGGAGAGTTTATATGTGGATATTGGGGCTTAAAGGGTTAAGAAATCAGAATTCTACCCTATTGTTTATTGGCCAATTTGATGTTGTGCTTGAGATGGGTTTTACGCTGTGGAACTGTTTATGCCCCACTCTCTTGAGCAACATTGTTATAGCCAATAATGGAAGCAGTGGAGTCCACAGAGAACAGTTCTCGCCCAGCATAGCACCATTTCACTCATCACTGACCAGGTCAAAGACAACCTCAAAACAACCTATATGTGAAGGGTGCATGGAAAAATTCCTTCAAAGTGACTCCTGCTGGTTATTGGATAGATTCTCCATACGAATTGTGGCCTCGTATTTGCTTCTGAAACAAAAGGAGAGTATGACATATTTACATCAAGATCAAGCCACTTAAAGCCTTTATGCAATGGGCTCCTTCATTATTTTGTAGTAGCATATATCTTGTTAAGCTGTAGCTGGCAAGTCAGTGATTCACTGTGAGTCATTTTGAGAGCTGGTCCTTTATTACAGTAAACTTTAAGAACTGTCCAATCCTTCCCAAGCCCGCTTACATTGACAGAGTTGATGTTTCAAAAAAATGACACAAAAACGAACCTATGTACTTAAATAGTTTTATTTTCTACAAAAAGAAAATGTTTCTACATAATATTCCGTAAAACAAGAAAAGTCTGGATTACGAATCATACGTTTACAAAAAAGTAATGTAAAAGACCAAAAGTGACTAAGAGAAACTATTTCACTCACTTATCTTGGCTGTAAAATTGTTAGTTCAGCTCCTAAATGAATTGAATGTCTTGTGAATTAATATGGAAATGATCGTTTAGTTTGTTTGACATTAATGATCTAGGGTGTTAACATTGAGAAAATGTACAAATGCCAAACCTATATTGAGTTTCACAGTAGCATGGTACAGCTGTGTAAAGAGAATACTGGGTGCATGGTGTTTCTAAATGCACAAAGCAGTAGCCAGTGTTGAAAGAAAACATTAAATATCCTTCTCTCTTGACATGTAATAGTGTATTGATGTATTGTACATGAATGCTCTTCAGCAAAACCTGTTGACTGACTGTCCTGTGAAAGGTGATGAATGATGGAAAAACTTGTTTCTTTGGTTATTTAAAACAAATGTTAAAACTGGGTCTATATTTTATGAGCCATTTGTCATATCTTCCATTTCTTCATCCACATTAGCACTACGTTTGTTCCTGCTGCCTGGTACTTGACCAGTTCTTAACAACATTTCCAGTCTTTGTACTTCATCCAGGGAACGTGCATTAGCGATAGCAGCCTGAAGATTAAAATCAAAAATAATAGTGAAACCATATTAGACAGATCTCGTTATAACAAGAAACAGTTCTCTAGACCTCCTTTTGTCAATTTATAACTTTTAATATTTTACCAAGTGGACACAATCATGTAGCAATGCCCAAAATCAATGCAAAATATGAGCTACCCACTCTTCCCTGCAAACTCTTTGAAGCAAGACTCAGTCCAAAGTTTACAGTTGCTCACATTAATGTATTCAACACAACTGTAGTCCACAGCCTAGATACATCTACAACCATATATTTATGTTAGGCCATTGGTCATAGTTCACCATGCAGAACTAACAAACTGTTAGTCTGTTATGCAAACCTGTCCCTCAGTACACGTTTCACAGTTTGCAGTTATCTGTGAGTAAGAATTACAAATGACTTCCATTAATTTTGTACTTTACCTTGATAGCAGCAATGTCTCTTGTAGGTTGTTGGAGAGGCTTGCTGGGTGCTGGTCTTGTACCAACTGGGGGACCTCCAGGGACAAACCTAGCAAAGAGATAGAAAAAACAATGGATAAATATTGATATCTGCCACCGGCTGCAACTTTCTAAGCATTGTCATCACTGTTCAATAATTAAACACAACTATTTTTATCTTATTTGCATTTTCACACACACATGTACATGTATAACAACTTACGTCTTTGCTTTCTTGCCTTTTGGCTCAGCGTCTTGACCCTTTTTACTACTGAACATTCGTTTGGCAGCCTCTCTTTCCTACAGGTACAAGAAATTTTAAAAAATCATCATCATCATCACCCGTCACCTGCAAGCCATCCGCAACTTGCTCACTCTTTTGTGTTTTTTTGAAAACATTTGACACTTTTTGATATTTCTTTACTGAGTATCACCTTAGCAGCTACTGCTCACTCTAGGGCAGTGTGCATGATGTCATCCTCAGAGAAATGCTTACTGGGGTTGATCCATTCCTGGACTTGGCTGCAAAAAGGACTTTCGCGGTCTCCCTGTTGGGTCTTCTCCAATGGGAGGGCTCAATATAGTATGTGTACATGTTGGGGGGTTTATCCTTCTCCATTAACAAAATTCATGTGCAAGCTTACATGTACCTTGTCACAATTTTGCACATAGCAATATGAAACTCAAAAACAAAGCACTGGTGCTGTTATGTCAGTATTAAAATACTAATATTTTGACTGAAACTTGCTGCATACAAGAACTAGCAGAATTGAGAGTTTTGACTTGTTAATAAATGAATGTAATACACCATAGCTCACCCTTTGTTTTACCCTCTGAAAGTCCAGCACTCTTATTTGCGGCAATTTGTGGATTACATATAATCTGTAGTGTGGTTTATTTGTGACTGGATTCCGAAGCAAGCTACAAAGAAACATTAACAGTTTGTACACAGATTGTACTACAACTTAAACAATGTATATGTTATAGGTCAAAATTAAATAATTTCCTATTGAAATATTTTACCTACATTTAACTCTCAATTTACTTTGTCTCTTAGCCTTTGCCCCAACTGGCAAAAGGCAACCAAATGGCTATTTACATGCATGGTTGAGTATTTCAGGGTTTGTACCCTTTTTCGAACTGAACATTCAAGGACTTTTCAAGGACACATTCCCATTTTTCAAGGACTCCATTCAGTTAGAAAAAGAGGCTCGAGTCTACGTCTTTCTTAGTTCTTCTGCAACATGAACAATTTTTCTGAATGTCTTTCTGTGTTTGCTCATATTAAGCACTTGAGAATCTGGTTTGGATAAAGCACTTTCAAGGTTCTTGACTTCTTGAATTTGTATTTTAAAATTCAAGGACTTTCAAGGTGTGTGCGAACCCTGGTATTTGAACTTGGGACAACCCAAAACAAATCCAGCAAGTGGCTAGAGGAGGACACAAACCCGGAACTGCTGGATTGCGAGTCCCACTCCTTAACAACTCAGCCACACTGCCTCCCCTAACCTCTCCTCTGTTCTACTTGAAATCCATTTCTGATTTTCAATTCATGAAATAATAATTTTTGTGTATTACACTGTAACTTCTGGAGAAGTTGGAGAGGGAAAAAGAGTATAAATCATATTGTAAAAGTATTTTCCAGCACAACACACTGATCAGCCTCAGGGTTCTGATGAAAAACAAAGACTATACTAAAAAAATAAACAAATATTACCTGAGGTATCTAAGACTTTGAATAGTTTTCAGTGGGTCCAAATCTTTCTGCAAAAAAAAATGTACAAACAACTTATAAACAGATGATGATAGACACATTCACACTGTAATGCCTAAAAAGACAGTTTACAAGTATTTTTGAGTGTTACATGTGACACCAGATTTACTACAAAATTAGTACGAGAACAACAATAATTAAATAACGTTACCAATTCCTGCATGTTGTTAGAAGTCATAACTATTGTTTCTAACTGTGGTAGGCTTTCCTCGATGTTTTCTGCAATTCGACTAAAAGAGACAAAGTGTAAAGAAAGTCATTTAGTAATATTTAGCAAAGCTGATAACAGAGTACTATTTTACACTTTTTAAGTAGCATTATTATGTATCTTTAGAATATGGTCACAAATTATAATCAATAAATTTAAAATAAAAGATGGTGCTACATGGAGATGCACATAATTAAATAAGAGAACACTATACCATAAAAGTATTTTTTTTCAGTTATTCAGCCATTCCTTTAAAGAATGGTACTACTGTTTCACAACATACCACGTAAGTCTTAAAAATAAAAGAATACAAAAAATGAAATGCACTTTCAAACACTAAATTAATTATTTTATATTATTCCATGTCTTCTAGTTACTTACTAAACTAATGTTACAAATAAAGAATTTTCACTTGTAATATTTGCCTCAGATATAAAATGTACCTGATTCCAACACCAAACAACAGAAAAGTATCTCACATTTAAATAAATACAAAGATACACAGAAATCTAGAAAAAGCATCAAGATTTTGTCATCATCAAAAGCTCTGACTTGGATTGGAGGTTAAAAAAATGCAGTGGATGCTTCTAACTTGGACCAAGACTAAGTACATTAATTTGAAGGAGCTAGGTATTTGCCTGTGAAAGCAAAAATTTACATGTGTGTCACTCTGCCTAGATTTTGTTAGATCTTACCTTTAAGTTTTGTTAAGGATAACTACAATGATGTAAATCTAGGTGACGCCATAATTTTCAACTCATAATATTACCAGCTTACCTCTTTCCTTTTTTGGTCCACTGAACTTACCAATGATATGCATATACATGTATATATTAGAAAATGTTAGATATTGTATACCAACACTACACAACATTTCTTGATGTGCAGTGATAATCAGTATCAACTATTATAGTAACAGTAATATTATTAATAAAGCATCTAACATAATTCAAGCTCTTAATGTCTTGACGACACACCTAGCCTCTTTATACACATTACTACATTATTTTAATCATGAACTGAAATACTGTTGTTTCTACTTTCATTGGATTAAGTTAAGAATTTTCAATGTTACAAATTTAATACTATTTCTGCAATGAGAAAAATACTGATGTTTTCATCATAGTAGACTGTCTACAGGATAAAAATAATCCCAGTGGTTTTACATTAAATTTCACTTCCTGTCTGAAAGCAAGCAGCGGAGTTGGGGGGAGGGGGGGATGGATAACAAGCTCTACCCTGCAGCAAAAAGAAAACAAGTAAGAGAAGTAAAGAAACTAACATACCATATTCTATTGTTGTTTAAAAGCAAACTCTTCAGCCTCCTAAGAAGTGGAAACCCTTCCAGTTTGCGGATGTCATTTTCGGAGAAATCAATAGAATCAAACTGATCCTAAAATGAACAACAACAAAAATGTTTTGTGCTTTAAATTAATTTAAAAAACTGTACCTTTTTATTGATCAAGTTACTATGTGATGTTTCATCAAACTTTTTCCCCCTTCATTACCCACAGGAGAAGAATGGTTATGTAAGTGTTCCGTTAAGAAATGATACATTTAAATTCCTCTGGTAAACTGTAAATACCCAGTAACATTAGAACTATCACAAAGTTCAAACACCAACACCAATTTTTGCTTATCTGTAAACTCCTGAGCTATAATACCAGACATACCAAAGTTGCTCCCAAATTTTCAATAACTGGAATCTTGTAACCTAAAAGGAAAAAAGAAAACTTAGTAAGAACAAGTAAGACAGTCCTTTATAGCCATTCTTGGATTACTACTCAGGAATTACTTTTGTAGCACCTGTCAGAGCAACTTGGAGTGGGCTGAAGCTTGAAACAAAGAAGATTTTTTCAGGCTCTACTCTAGCAGATCCCAGTGGTCCCTGAAACCTTACTTTTGGCTTTTGGGTGACTAGGAAATGTTAATTTTTTTCTTGATATGATATGCTGGGCACCCTTTGCAGGTTTAGCGCACTAAGGTCCCTACAGATGTTGGTAGTGCACAGCCTTATTTTGGGTGAGAACGGAAGTAAAAAGCTAATTAAAGAAGGCAAGCATTTGAGTTTGAACGGACTTCTGCATACCACCCATCATTAGTTTCTACTGAAACCAATATTACCATTTTTCTATCACAGGAACAAGGATTGCTGTTGTTGCATCAGAAGGACAGCAAAACATGATTTTATCAAATATGGGAGCAACTGCAGAATACCCTGCCACTTTGAAGCTGTATCCCTGAAAGAGCTAGATACGTGGATATGCAGTTATGCCTTTTATGCACTTTTCTACCTTCAGTGGCTTTAAGAACGACAAATAGACATACCATACGCCTTATATGCTGTCTTAAGTGTATATCGAAGTAGATACGCGAATATGTGGATACCTAGTGACTATTATAAGATATTTACTAAGTGGACACGCGGATACGTAGTGACTGAGTATCTGCGTATTCACCTACCTAAGGTGGCAGGGTATTCTGCAGTTAAGCCAACTACTGCCGATAACATACACAGGCCACTGCAGAAAGATTGAGAAGCCGATGTTTTGAGTGCTATCCAAAAGGGCTGCTGCTAAGAACATAAGCTTCTTTTTATGCATTATGTGTAGGTTTGACTTTCTAGTATCCACACTAAGAGACTAATACAAACTTAGGTTGAACAGGACATTGTTTTAATACAACTCTTCCTGTTTTACAAATTAAAATAATGTTATCTTGATGCAGACCAGTGCGTTTTCAACAGGAAAAGCAGGATGGTCTGTTTCATAACAGAGTCATAGTCAGTCTAGAAATACAGTTTCTCGCTATACTAAAAACAAAAGAAATAGGGGATACGTTGGACATCAAAGGTAAATATCCTTTAGGAGTAAATGTTAAACAAGAAAACTTACCACGTAAATCGAGTTCTCTGTCTCGCAAAGCGTTTGTGTATTGGGGACTTTGCAGAATAAGATCAGCTGTTAACTTCATATTTAAAGCTAAGTTCTTTACGTGGAATACCGAGAATGGAAACCAAAAAGTTACTCAACAGTTTTTTGGTTTTATCTCAATAAGAGAAACACTTAAAAACACTGTCTTTGCGAGTACAATCAATTTGTTACTAGCAAACCGCCATGTTGGAAAGGAATACGGCACGTGAACGTTGCTCGCCCCAGTACTTTGCTGGAGAGAATAGAACGCCTGGCAGTAATTCACCAAGTCTTAAGAAGACAAGATGTCTGCCACTCGGTTTGAGTACGTTCCTGTTGTGGAAGTTTCTTCTGACAACTTTTCAGAAGTGTGGCCTTTCATGCTTCGCGCGATAAAGAAATCTTCCTTCGTGGCTGTGGACACGGTACGTATAAAGGGGAATGACTTTACGCGATTTGCGAGGACATAGTTTTATTACAGCTAAGTTTCCACTCTATAAAAATTTGAGATTGCTTCGAATCTCTCCATTTAAGACAAAGTTTTCTTTTTTTATGAGGAAAATTTTAAAAAAATCATAGGATAAGAACTCTTTTTTCTGTAGTTTAAACAGGCAGTTTGAATTTACGAGAACAAAATCTTATTCTATGATTTGTTTTAAATTTTTTTCTTGAAATAAGAAATCCCGAATTTTGGGAAAGTTCATTTAATATGACAAGGGGGGGGGGGGATGAAGATATTGAGGGGGGGCTCCGAAAATTTTTAGACATCCGAAGGGGAGGCTCTGAAAAAATTGTTGCGCTAGGAAGGGGGGCTCCGAAAATGTGTACACTTCAAAACCAACACATGACATCATCATACAGATCGGATGGTTTTCAACTCAACAATTTAATGACCTGTGCAACTCAGCTATATCACGTGGTTTACAGATATAACAAATGTAGTCTCAGTAATTATTACACTCTTGTTCATCCTAAAAATGCTTTAGAAAATTGTATCACAACTGTATCTCAAGTTTGTTAGAGTATAAACCATTGAAGACAATAACGGTAAATATATTTAATACAGTCTAGGGATCATTTTTCAGGGGAGCAAAGGAATTGAAGGAGGAGGGGGGGGGGCTCTGAAATTTTTTCGACTACCAAGGAGGGGGCTCCTAAAAAATTGAACCGCTAGCGAGGGGGGCTGCTAAAATTTCAAGCTTCGAGTTTCAATATCTTCATCCCCCCCCCTTGTCATATTAAATGAACTTTCCCTTAGAGTGTTCGTTAGGATCAAGCTTCTTATAAGTGCATGCAAAGTTGGACAGATAATATACTGAAGGTCTTATATATCATAAATTTAACTTGCTTATTTTTAAGTTTTCAAGAACGTTTTGTTTCTTCCTTTAGGAAATGAGTGGTATTGGAGACAGGAAGCAACTTATGGCACAGTGAGTACTAAAGAAAAACCGTCCATTATCTCCCCCCCCCCTCAATTAATAAACTCCCTCCCTCTAATAAGCTCCCTTTTTCAGTGGAAGAAAGTTAATACCTCCCCCCACCTCTCTCTATTTTGGTGGGTATGAACTTGCAGATGCATATGTTGTGGTTCAATATATTTTATCCTTGGTTTAAATTTTATTTTCTTTTGTTTCAAACTCATTATCATACATTACCATACCCAAAAATAAAGGAAAATAAAATTTAAACCAAGGATAAAATTGAAACACAACACATGTAACAGTGGCTAACAGTTATGAAACTTTCCTGGGGGAAGATGTCCTCGGACTGCCCTACAAGTTTGTGTCTCCAGCACTCAATGTTTGCACTCTGCATCCAGTACCCCCAAATGCTACCGAACACCCTGGGGGGCGGGGGACTCCTCATATGAAAGGGGTGGGGATGCTTGTTGTCTCGCTTCGGGGTGTAAATTTCAGATTTTAGTCTCACTTAGGGTGTTCTGGGCAAAACGCCATCATATTTAGCCGTGAAGGTCTCGTTTAGGGTTGCACGCGAAAAAATACAAAAATATACATTTGATATGTATATTTTAAATTTGTTTTATTTACTCTATTCATATAATCCAAGTTTTCTCATTTGTCTGTGTTTTAACATGGTCTCTTTTAAGGGGTCAAAAAAAGCTTGGGCCCCTCCCAGATCGGTCTCCTTTAGGGCTTTAATTCAAAATTTGTGACAAGTATCCCCACCCCTTTCATATGTGGAGTCCCCCGGCTGAAAACCCTGTTTGTATAACATGCATTATGCTCAATGAAACTCATAAACTTGTTTTTAATTTTTTATTCCACAGATTTATTGAGGACAGGTACAAATACATGTGTGAAGTTGCCCAATCCAGAGCAATACTTTCTCTAGGAATTTCCTGTTTTAAGTTGAAGAAGTTAAAGCCCCACAAGGAGACAAGACACAAGGAATCAGATGAGATACTTAACGTCAAAGTCAACACTTTTAATATTGTTGTTCTTTGTTTGGAAAATTTTATCGTGGAACCAGCTTCGTTAAAGTTTTTGGTTGAGCATGGATTTGATTTTAACAAACAGTATTCCAGAGGAGTGCCCTACAGAAGAGGAGACGATCAGGTGAGTGTGTATTTTCCTTAGAAGGTTGGAAAGAAATTTAAAAGTGCAACAATAACACACCTTACTTGCATATCCTGATTCCCTATTATGCCCTCTTAGTATGTGTGTGTGTGTGTTGGGGGGAAGATGCATCTAGTCTGAATTTAGAAACATGTTTGTATTCTGTCGGTCAGTATTTTACTGTTCTATTATTTTTCACTTGTTTTCATTGCTTCAATTTTATATTTGTTTCATTTGTCGCTGTTTTATTTTATTCTTTTGTTTTGTCACTGTTTTAACCCATTGACGCCCAGGACTTTTTATGTTTTCGAGTGATTGTCTACATACACACAATCCAAACGATTTCGTGACTCCGAATTTGGGGCTACCATGGAAAGTGGTACTGTCCTAAAACATTGAAGGCTTGAGTTTTCTGACCACGTCATTATGACGTAGTCATTTTGCCTTGTTGAGCTAAAATAATGGCTCAAGTATATGGTTTGTATGCGATTTTTGGTAAGGGTACAGTCAATTTCATCTTTGGTGGCTGCCTGATAAACATCATTAAGCATGACGGCAGTGAAGAGTCCACTTTCTCAAAGAAGCAAGTAAGGTGATGTACTATGTTTGCAAATTTGGCTTGTTCCTCGTGGAACTGGAAAAATGGCCCCTCTGAATTGAAGTTGCTATGGGACTCAACTAGTGATGAATTTCTTGACCTGCTACAGCATTGGAACTTATGACCACTGGACATCGCAACAATTGCGAAATTTCTGTGGTAGGTCGGAGTAGCTGTGGACTTAGTATAAACATGAAAAAAGTGGGGGAAGGAACGAACCCTGTAAAAAATTCTGGCTATTTCCCAGCATGCAATGCAGTCATAATGTTGAAAATGGAGGCAATTAGGCCAGGATGCACTAGAACAAAAGGCTGCAGCTCAGCCTTGTAAATGACTAAGAACCAAAAAAGGCACTTCTAAGCTAAGACAGGGACTGAATTTTACTGTGAATGTCGACTTTTGGTTTTGCAACGATGATCTCTGTAGAAAACCTGAAGGTAAAAAACATGATTTTTGTTGTTTTTCTATGACGTTGAAAATGGTCATTTTTGTTCTTGTCCAAATTCAAAAGGTGATATTTTGCAAAAAAGCTGACTTTTTGGCATTTATTTGATATCCCAGTTTGAAGGACATTCTACTCAATGCTCAGAACTGACAGTTAAGGCAATGTTCACGTGATTGAGAAAGCTGCAAATGTCTTAAAGCAGCCCTGTAGTCTTATAGCCTTGTAGGGTCAGTTGGCTGTCAGTGGGTTAAAGCAATCTTTATTCTAACAGGGCCTCAGTAATATTATTGCTCATGGCCAAGCCTTTAGTTAAATAATATGGCATCTTTAATATTATAACATACCAGTAAATTAATTTTCTTTGATGTATAACCAACTTTCATGATCATGTGAAAAATGCGCACACCCTCAGTTTTGTCAGCAAATGTGTTTTGTAAACCTGTTAGAGTGTCAAACAAAATTAATTAGGATTACTGTGGTTTCAATTCAATCACTTCTTCAAAGCAGTCTGCACATACATTTTATTTTTACCTTATTTTACACAATCTGCTATGCATACAAATGAAGTAGCCTGGAAAAATCCTTTTGTGCATTATGCACCTGCTAGTACGGCTTGTCATTATTTACATTGTAGAGACTTTGATGTTTATAAATGAATACAAAGCATTTTTCTGTTTGTCTTGTTTAGATTGTCAACAACATGTCAGAACATTCTCTGAGAAATCTTTTTAGTGAACTTGTCATGGCAAATAAGCCACTTGTTCTTCACAATGGATTCTTAGACCTAGTGTTCCTTTATGAGAATTTCTACTGCAAAGTGCCAGACAAACTGCAGGTGTTTACTGCTGATGTGTCCGACATGTTTCCAGCTGGAATATTTGACACCAAATATGTATCTGAGTACAGTGTCCGAGAATCAGCTTCATATCTGCTTTATCTCTTTAAAAAGTGGTGGGTATATGTATTTAAATGTGGCTAAATGTAATTTAGGCAAAGTTAACCTCAAAGCAATGCTGGTCAGCTGTTTCCCCAGCTATAGTAGAGGTGGCCCAATGCCTCTAGCAGGGGCACCTCGTGACTTACATACGCAGTTGCTTGCTTGCAGTTCTTCGCAAAGTGTTGCTGCAATAGCTTGCTGTTTGCGTGCCATATATTTTGATTTTATCTATAATGTCTTTGTCTTTTGTGTTTTTGACATAACTGAGAATCTTTTGTAGTAGCATATATCTTTTCTTTTTGCTTTGTAGCCAGCGATGTAATGAGCGCAGCCAAAAGCATGAGGAAAAACATGTGTGCTTGAAATTTCCTGAAGAAGCCTCACTTTTATGTTTTACTGAGGAATTGTTCTGTGGCGCACGTGATGAAACTGAGGCTGTTCTTAATGTTGTCACTGTCTGTGAGAAGTTTGCAGTAAGTTTATCATAGAATACTTTTCAAGTGATTGTTGTCATCAACCTATATTTTGAAAAAATGATTTTGACCTAAACAAGATGCAAGAACAATGTATCAAATGCCCATCAGATCTTGACACAGGTGCGGATCCAGGATTTTTTTTAGGAGGGGGTGCGCTCGTCTCTTGCTCTACTTCAACACCAATAAACCACATAGTTTTTTTTTTGCAGAATACCAGTTGTATTAGAAAACCGCAGGTCATCTCAGGGGGGGGAGGGCACACCCCCTGCACCCTCCCCCTAGATCCGCCCCTGTGACAAGAATACTTGTTGCAGGAAAATACTTTTGTGTAGGCAAGTCACAATAATAATATTGGCCTTGGTGAATGTGTTTCTTTAATTTCGCGACAAAGTGTTAGAGTTTTTGTAGCCAGTCACAATTTGTGTCAATAAGCATAAAACAACTGCCAAAAAGCACTTTCAGGACTTTATAGCCTTAAATACAGTCACAATGTACATTCTGGACAGTTTCACTTGAAAAGGACTGCTAATTTGAACTGTTGGACAAATTTTCTAAGATGCTGTTTTGCATTAGTCTGAAATGCCAGTCGTCTCTTCGCCCCATCCCCCACCCCCCAATGGGTGGCCAATCTCCCTTGTCTGGTAACCCATTTGGGGGGAGGGGGTGGGGTTACATGAAGAGATGGCTGAAATTTAAAACTACCGGTAGTTTGGAATAAGCATCTGTTCAGCTTCCGTCTAGGGCTCAAAGCAGTCATATTTTATGAATGAAATAGTACTAATGTTCAGGCTTTTCAGGAATTTCAGGCTTCTATTTCCTACATGAGCAATAAACGCTTATCAACGTAAGCTGTTTATGTAGAGTATTGCTGTTTCTGTGAAAGGATTTAAGGAAGTGCTTCTTTTTGATTCTCCACAGGCTCATGGATTTTGTCCTCGAGAAAAAAGCTGCCCCTTTTCACATGATGTTGATGATGTTTTGGATCGAGAATGGAAAGCAAGAGAATCAAAGAGACAAAAAAGAAAAAGGAAACAAAAAAGCTCAGGTAATGGATGTGTGCGTGCATGTGTGTGTGCATAACAGTCCCTTCTCTGTTAACATGAAACACAAAGTAAAAAAAGATACGCACATAAAGAGATAACTTCATGTGAGTACGGATCCAAAAACTAAAAATATGGTGACTTTTCCAGCACTAGACCTTCATCAGTTCGTTTGTCTTAGCCTTTTTAAACCACAAATGTACTCTATCAACCTAGTTTTCACGTTGTTCTTTGGTTTTGACAAATTCCCAGAATAATCTTTTCAAATAATTATTGTAGTTTAATCGGTTGATGGGCGACTTCTTATCAAATCCAATCAATAGAAAATGTTTACAGTCTAACCCCATGTAATAGTCTTTTTTAATACATGAATTTATTTTCACACAGGCAATAATGCAAATGACACACAAACGGCCTGCAATAACAGTGTGATGGCAGAGGATAAATCTGAGCATTCACTCACTTGTGATAGGCAGGAAGGTTGCGTGACGTCATCGCTAGATGGCCACGTGAATCAATCCATCAAAAAGACTCGTAACTGCGGACACAGGGCGGGATTTGATGCTTTTATGACAGGCTATTGTATGGCGACATATCTTCTTCAACTTGGCAAGAAAAATGACGAAAATGAACTTAGCCTCTCCTCCCTGGGGGAAATTGCAAACAAATTGAGCCTCGCAAAGAAGGACGTCCCTCTGCAGATTGCGCGGAGTCATTTTTCCAAGCCTTCACCATCGCACACAGAAAAACTAAAACGACTTAGAGAAAATTGCGCTTCACAAAGTCTGGACCAGTAATTTGGACAGTTTGCACCTCAAGTCAGAATCGGATTTATGGACATGGATGTTGATCCAAGTTTTTGAACTGTCAATTGAGGACAAACTCGAGATTTGTTTAGTGAATTAAAGATGTTTCAAAAGTCTTTTTACGGAATTATTTTAGTCTTTAAGGCGTACTTTCACTATAACTTCGAGGGACCTGGGAAAACTTTAAGCGCTCGTCTCCAGTACTCTTCTAACTAATCAATTCCCGTCAATTTCGTTCCATAGCTAGTGCACAAAGGTTTAGGAAACTTCTGTTACATGTCTTGATTTTATTTCCTTTATTCTATCTAAAACATATTCAAACACTATTTTATTACCTTCTTTTCTTAAAAAATAAAGAAAAAACAATAATAAACCCCTTTCGAAAACTCCCATTTTTCGACAATTTAAATCATTATGTTTATACTCTAAAAAGGATTTCTTTCTATCTAGAATTTACTCAAACACTATTTTACAGCCTATTTTGACCAAAAATAAGCATTATTAACCCTTGAATTTTCATGAAAAATCAAAGGTTAGCTCAGTAGGAAAAATATTTTTTTTCTATCTACAACATAATCAAATAGAAGTTTATGGCCAATTCTGACAAAAACTAAGCTTTGAAAAAATTTCGAATTTTTGGCCAAACTTATCGGCTAACCCGTTTAAAAAAATGCAATTTTTGGCCTACATGAGATCGATAAATTTATAGTGCAAACAAGCTTCTTTTCTATCTAGAACAAAGTCAAACACTATTTTATGGCCTATTTTAACAAATACGTGTTGTTATTTTTAATCAAAATTGTTCATAAAAAACTGTTTGAAAATTTTCAAGATGAAAAAGAACTATTTTTAAACTATAAAAAATTCGATCTTTTTACGAGCGAAAAGTGTATTTTTCCAAAGGGGTTAACCCATAATTTTGGCCAAAAAGTGAAATTTTTTTTAACCCTTATTTTTCAGCAAAATTGTTTAATAAAAAACTGTTTGAAAATTTTCGAGATAAAAAAGAACTATTTCTTACCTATAAAAAATTTGATCTTTTTAGCACCAAAAAGAGCATTTTTCCAAAGAGGTCAACCCACGATTTTCGCAAAAAATTCAAAATTTTTTCAGCCCTTATTTTTCATTAAAATTGTTCATAAAATACTGTTTGAATATTTTCTAGATAGAAAAGAACCATTTATTAACTATAAAAAATTCAATCTTTTTAAGAGCAAAAAATGCACTTTTCCAAAGGGGTTAACCCATGATTTTGGCCAAAACTTTAAACTTTTTTCCGCCCTTATTTCTCATCAAAATAGTTCGTAAAAAACTGTTCGAATATTTTCTAGATAGAAAAGAACTATTTATTAACTATTAAAAATTCGATCTTTTTGGACCAAAAAATGCATTTTTCCAAAGGGGTTAACCTATGATTTTGGCCAAAAAGTAGCAATTTTTTCAACCCTTATTTTTCATCAAAGTTGTTGGGAAAAAACGTTTTGACTATTTTCTTGAAAGAAAAGAACATTTTTTGACTATTAGAAATTCGATCTCTTTAGGACCAAAAAATGTATTTTCCCAAAGGGGTTAATCCATGATTTTGGCCAAAAATTCCAAATTTCTTTCAACACGTATTTCTCATCAACATGGGTTAACCCCTTTCAAAAAATGCATTTTTTGCTCTTAAAAAGATTGAATTTTTCATGGTTAATAAATAGCTCTTGTCTATCTAGAAAATATTCAAACAGCATTACTACGACCTCAAGCTTAAAGTATTGAAATTAAATACCTTGCAAAAAATGCTAATCTTCATTGCTTTTTCTTTTTTAAAACCACCGCCGATGCCATTAACTTCCTCTATTTCTCAACTTACAAATATGTCCATTAGCACAGCTGTCCAATCAGGTGTGGCCGTGGAAGCTGAATAATGAATGTGTTATCCACCTCGGCCTTCGGCCTCTATGGATAACACCCTCCTCGATCTGCTTAATTCTTCATATCCTACTCAGCCTCATTCATTAATTGCTAAATAATGAATATTTGGGTTTGGAAAATCAGGAATAATGAATAACACAGCCATGTTAGAGGAATAAAGAATAATACATTTGTTTATGTAGTTCCTGATATATCAGTTTTCGATAGGATCGAGATAGGAGCTTTATATTTATATGATGAAATTTTTGTTTTGGTGAAATCAGCCGGCAATACGCAAAACTACCTTTGCTGCAAACGTCTCCTTCCGGTTCGTCCGAAAAGTCTCACTAGGACTACCTTATTAAAGGAAATTAACGCTCCATGAAATTAAGGTATTGGAAATTAGAGCGACTTTAATGGAAAACGACTTTCGAAGGAAGAAGAAAATTAACGCGAAAGAGGAGGTGGAATTTCATAATAAAGGAAATTAACGCGATTAAGACTCAGTGGTGATAACTGGAACAAATTTATTTCAACACTGTATGCAAAAAAATTCAAAACTGAGCTGACAGCGACAACGATAAGGGTGAACTCCAAATATTGTAAACCTTCTCCTTAGCTTCTGTAAAAGATGAAAAATAAAGGGTAAATGGAAAGAAAGAAAGCTTGTAGCGAATGTTAATGTTTTTTAGGTGTCAAGAATGTCTGAACAGGTTCCAAAATTGGGGTTAAAATATTGGAAATTAAGAGCGCGGAAATTAACCACAGTTTTTTGTATTGGAAATACTGTTGATGAAGTCTTATCTAAAATTCAGGAGGCGATCGCCGACTTAAACAAATGGGCTATGGTTAACTTCATGACTATTCATCCTGCAAAAACCGAATTGATGTTGTTATCTAAATCACAATTCATCGGGCCCTTACAGAAAATATGTTTAGGGCAAAAGGAGTTGTCCTTTGTTTCTAAATCTAAATGTTTAGGGATTCAAATCGATAATAAACTCTCCTGGTCGCCACATATCAAATCCTTGAGCAAACGTTTTTCAGCTAGAGTGAAGAAACTGAAACACTTAAAAGGTCTCGACAGTCGCATCTTAGAGTCAATTTATTTCAAAGGTATCATTCCAAGTATTACGTATTCAATTGCATTATGGGGATCTTCAAAATCTCTTCAGACCCTGGAGGACATTCACATCGGAGCTGTAATAAGCTTTGCTTAGATGAACGGGTTCAGGGTTTTAACTAAGAAACATAACAAGGGTTGACTGGCTCGAAGGTTTATTGATCTCTTTTTGGTACGGAATGTGGTTGATATATATAGCACATTCCAGGGGGTAGGATTACATGTCAGTCAACTGTAGCATCAATCAGTATTATTATTACATCTCCCTTTTTGAGAATGAAATCAAACACTATCATTAAAAAAAATAATCGAATAATAACAATGACACTTCCGGTATGACAAAAGTTCAATGTTCTAATTTTCAGTGTTCAGTTCTTAGAAATTCATGACATAGTCCTTGAATTTAAAGGGAAGAGTAGTGATTCGCGAGGAGCGTCTAGGTGGTGTCGTCGATTCTGGGTTGTTGGGTTGCTGTTGTTCAGGAAGTTGTACAGGGTCTTGTTCTTTGTTGGGGGTTGCTGAGGTTTTCTGAGTTTCTGTAGTGTAATTAAAGTCGTTGTCTTGCGGGACTGATATTACAGGAGGGTTTTCTCCAGTTTGTAGCAGATCCTTGCGATTCCGGCGATATTGTTGTCCGGTCGTAGTTGTGACTAAATAGGATCTCGGGGTTTCTGCTTTCTCGTTTACTACGGCAGGTAGCCAGGTCTTTCCTTGGCGTAGACGGACAGCTTCCTGTGGTTTGAGATCTGTCAAGGGCTTTGCTCCGTGATTGTAATAGTGCACTTGCTGATGTTGACAGGCTAACAGTTGTTGTTTGACCTCAGTAGCAATCTTTGGTTTCAGGAGTTCTTGTGTTACGGGGATCTTGGTTCTGGTGGTGCGACTCATGAGAAGCTGGGATGGCGAATATGTCATTCCTGTCACTGGAGTATTTCTGTACTCCATCAGGCCGATGTATGGGTCGCTTGCTTTCTTTAGTATTCGCTTAACGGTTTGTACTGCTTTCTCACTGAGGCCATTAGACTGCGGATATGTGGGGCTTGAGGTGATCAGTTCAAATCCCCAGTCGTCTGCGAATCGTTTGAACTCTTTACTGTTGTAAGGCATGTTGTCTGATACGAGCTCTTCAGGGATGCCGTGTCTAGCGAAGATTGACTTCATGTGCGTGACAATGGTTCCCGCGGTTTTGTCACGCATTAGGCTAGTTTCGATGTACTTGGAGTAGTAGTCCACCACTACTAGGTACGGTTTTCCTTTATGTTCAAACACATCGGATCCGAGCTTTTGCCATGGACGATCTGGTATGGCATGGGGAATCATCGGTTCCTTCTGGTTCTTGTGTCTGTGTGTCAAGCATGTCGGGCACTTGACAACAGTATCATGGATGTCGCGTGACATTCCAGGCCAATAAACAATGGCTCTTGCTCGTGCTTTACACTTTTCAATTCCAAGATGGCTTTCATGTATCATTTCCAGGACGCTGTGCTGCATGGCTTTTGGAATGAGAAGCTGTCTTCCTTTGAATAGAAGACCGTCGGCTTCACTTAGCTCATCTCTGACAATCCAGTATGGCGAGAGGATTGGTCTCAAGGCTTTTCTATGGGGTGGGAAACCTTTTTGTATTTGAGCTTTCAGCGCCTGAAGTGTTGCATCTTTGGCGGTTTCATTTTTCAGCTGTGTCAACTTTTCTGGACTCGCTGGGATTTCGGTGATGAAACTGTGGATCATCACTTCGATGTCATCATTGAGGTCTTGGGGACCCTCAACAGTCTCATTTAGGTACGCTCTTGATAGAGTGTCTGCAATGAACATCAGTTTTCCGGGTACAAAATGAACTGTCAAATTGTACTTTTGAAGCCTGATTAGCAATCGTTGAATTCTCGGGGGTGTCTGAGATAATGGTTTTCTCATTATCGCCTCAAGTGGTTTGTGGTCACTTTGCACAATTATGTCATTGCCGTAGACAAATTGGTGAAATCGCTCGCACGCAAATACAATAGCCAAT